CCCTCCAGAAAATTATTTATAGAGGAAGACAAAAATCATCCTTAGCCTATAAAAAAATTTCCTATTTGGGATTTAGCATTCCAGTCAATATATATATATATATATATTTCCAGTCTATATATATATATATATATATCTTTATATATATATATATATATATATATATATGATGGGGTTGTGGCTCAGTGGTGGAGTGTTGCCTAGCACGTGCAAGGCCCTGGGTTCAATCCTCAGCACCACATAAAAATAAACAAATAAAGGTATTGTGTCCAACTACAACCAATATATTTATTTATGCCATTTACTCCGGGACAGAAGACAGAGAGAAAAAGAGAAAATGGAAGAAACCCCCAGATGATCTGGTTACTGAACATCCACATTAATAAAATTAACTGTGACAAACTGTCCAGCACATGCATAGGCAGGGGCCATTATCCCAGGGGCAGTGCCCAGGGAGAGGCAATATTCCAGTGGAACCCACTAGCACAACTTCCAAAAACCCAGAATCAAAGCCACTGCCTAAAGGGCTTATATAATTATTTCAGATGTAAAGGAAGGCACAAACATAGAGCTTAACTTTTTAATAAAAACATATCCTTGAGAAAATAACTGTGATTAATGTGTTCAATAAAATAACTGAGAAAATAAAGAATTCTCCCAGAGAAGTTAAATTTAAAAGAATATAAGATTTTATTGAAAATTCCAGAATTAAAATAAGGGAACTAGAATGAGGGTGCAGCAGGCAGACTTCACAGTAAATTAATCACAGGGAAGAGAGAATTAGTGATGGAAGATTGGTAGAAAATAATCACTTGGAATCACACTGAGAAAATGATGCAAAATAACACAAAGACACTTGAGACTTTTATATGAGATGTAATTAAAAAGTCTCACTACAAAAAAAGAAAAAAGACAAAGTCTCTCTGGCCAGGCATGGTGACACACCTGTAATCTCACAAACTAGGGAGGCTAAGGCAGGAGGATTGCAAGTTTGAGGCCAGCCTTGGCAATTTGTAGGACCCTATCTCAAAATAAAAATTAAAACGGGCTGGGGATGTAGCTCAGATAGGTAAATGGAACACAAGTAAGAGAAGCAAAAGAGATTAGGGGAAAGCAATATTTGGAAATATAAGGTCTTGAAATTTTTCAAAAATGAGGAAGACTTTCAATGAACATATTCAAGTAACACTATGAACTTCAATTAGGATTCATTCAAGGAAAACCTCACTTGAGCAAGCCACGGTAAAATGGCAGATAACCAAAGACAAAGAAGAGACAAGGCAAAGGACACACTACCTTCAAAGGGGCACCAAAAACACTTTCAGCCTGACTTCTCAGCAGAAGTATGGAAGCCAGAGACGATGGAACAATATCTAAAACAAAAACTACACACACACACACAAACACACACACACACACATCCTTTTAAAAATGAAAGCAAAACAAAGACATCTTTAAGCATAACCCCATTAAATAAACACTCTAAAACTGGCAAAAAAATATGATTCCAGACTATAGCTCAGAAATGCAGATGCAAAACAAACGCAAGAGAATAAGTAAGCGTGCAACTCACCGCTCCCAGGTTCCGCGGGAGTCACAGCTACCAAACAGGCTATGCCTATGAACAGCTGGTACCCTAACTCCAAATGCCTGGCACCAAAGAGTCTGTTTACTCTTCCATTTTCAAGGGTGGTATAGTTTTTGTCCTATAAAAAGTGAAAGTGCTGAAATATCCACACACCCAGCATATTCAATGAAATTTCAAGACTTAATGTGCCGTATGGGAGCAATGGAGGGAATTGTGGAAGCTGTGTCCTCTCTTCTCACCAGAAAGTTTGTAAACTTCCCCCAATAAAACCTGCTTTCTAAACACAAACAATGCAACTATGTAGAATTCTCTTGAGCCCTAGCACATAACACATGGGAGCTAAAAGAGGCATTATCTTATATGACTTTGAATGTAAAGAGAAAATCACAAATAATGCCAAGGATTTTTTTTGACCTGAGCAACCTGGAATTTGGAATTTCTATTAAATGAGATATAAAAGACTGCAGGTGAAACAAGTTTGAATTAGGCGTGTCAAGTTAGGTAGACCTATTAGGCACTTGAACAGGTAACACCTACTTAAATAGGCACTTAAATAGGTAATTAGACATACTAGCCTGGAGTTCAGGGGAGATGTTCTGGATAAAATATAATTGAGAAGTCATAAGCAGATAGCTATTATTTAAAGACATGAAATTAGAAACCCCAAGAGAACAGGTGCTGACAGACAGCACAAATTTACAAAGTGTGACCTGTCAACAAGGTCAGCACCTTCTTCCGACAAGTTCAACTGCACAATTGCAGAGCGGGATAGGCAGAGGGTGCTGGAAATAATCATTCATGGTTATTAAAAAAAATAGATAATATGTACTCTTGACACAAATAGACAAAGCCACGTGTAAAGTAATCTGACTTAAAAAAAAAAAAAGAAAGAAAGAAAGCCCTGAGTATATCAAACTAAAAAGCTTCTTCACAGAAAAGGAACCAATCAAGAACAGGAAGAAAGAGTCTTCAGACTGGGAGAAAACCTTTCTCATTGCACCTCAGATAGAGTATTAACCTCCAGGATATACAAAGAACACAAAAAACTTAACACCAAAAATAATAATAATAATAACCTAATCAATAAATGGGCAAAAGAACTGAACAGACACTTCACAGAAGAAATACAATCAATCAACAAATATATGAAAAAGTGTTCAACATCTCTAGCATTTGGACAAATGCAAATTAAAACTACACTGAGATGCCACCTGACTCCAGTAGGAATGGCAATTATCAAGAATACAAGCAACAATAAATGTTGGTGAGAATGGGGGGGGGTTTACTTATAACGTTGCTAGTGGGACTAAAAATTGGTGCAACCACTCTGGATAGCAGTATGGAGATTCCTCAGAAAACTTGGAATGGAACCATCATTTGACCCAGTTATCCCACTCCCCAGCATATACCCAAAGGACTTAAAATCAGCATACAGTGACATAGCCACAACAATGTTTAGAGCAGCCCAATTCACAATAGCTAAGCTAGTATGGAACCAACCTAGGTGCTCTTCAACAGATGAATAGATAAAGAAAATGTGATACATATGCCAAATGGAATAATACTCAGTCATAAAGAAGAACGAAATTATGACATTTGCTGGTAACTGGATGGAATTGGAAGCTATCGTGCTAAGTGAAATAAGCCACTCCCCCAAAACAAAGGCTGAATGTTCTCTCTGATACACAGATGCTGATTCTCAATGGGGGTGGGGAGCGGAGGTTCACCAGATTGAACAGGGGGAATGAAGGGAAGGGAGAAGGAATGGGAATGGGAAAGATAGGAGAATGAATCAGACATAACTTTCTTATGTTTGTATATGAACACACAACCAGCGTGACTCCACATCATGTACAACCACAAGAATGGGAAGCTATACTCCATGTAAAGGATGATATGTCAAAATATACTCTGCTGTCATGTATAACTGAAAAATATTTTTTTTTAAAAAATGAGCTCTGAATAAAATCAAAGCTGTGGACCTAATTACCAATTTTAAAAGAAGGGGTGGAATCTGTTAACTGACAAGACAGGAATGCAATCAGTGATATGGAGGGTCTGGGAAATTATGTGGGACCAATGACCCATTTTCTTCAATGACAACCACAAAAATAATGGGGAAGAAGAAGACCCTGAGGTAGAAGGTGTACCCTTTCAAGATTTCAAGAACCATCCACCATTTGTAATGTATGCATTTTATTTGATCTCAGGTTTAAAAAAAAAAAAAAAACTTAGGAAAAAATTCCTTGACATTTGGAGATGCCAACACTGACTGGATGTTTGGTTTTGTCAAACAGTGTCCGTGATTTTTAGGTGTGACAGTAGTAATGTGGTTATGGATTTCTTAGGTTGTCCCTATCTTTTAGAAATACAAATTGAAGTAGTGATAAAATGATATCATATCTGGAATATGCTCCAAAATAACTAGGGATGAGAGTAGGTGAAATTATAAATGAAACAGGATTGGACCATCATCAAATTGGGCAATGGATACGTGAGGAATCATCACATTATTTTCTCTACTTTTGTATTTAAAAAAAAATTCTTCATGATTTTTTTAAAGATTCACATGATGAAAGGACACCTTGAAATAGTCAAAAACTGAGAGTGCTAACCCCCCACAGGTTCTCACTTGAGAAGCTTCAAAAACAAGTACTATGAGAAAAAGAAAATCACCCTAGGAGGGAGAGCTGAAGGGCAAAGGGAGTGGTCAGGAATGGGAACAGCAGACCAGGGGGGAATTCGAACCAAGTATTTGTATCAGTCAAAAATAATAATCCCTATGCCACGCGCTGTGGCTCATGCCTGTAATCCCAGCTGCTGGGGAGGCTGAGGCAGGAGGATCGAGAGTTCAAAGCCAGCCTCAGCAAAAGCGAGGCACTAAGCAACTCAGTGGGACCCTGTCTCTAAATAAAATACAAAATAGGGCTGGGGATGCGGTTCAGTGGTCAAGTGCCCCTGAGTTCAATCCCCAGTACCAAAAATAAATAATAATAATAATTCCTAATTAGGGGAGAAGTTTTTAACAGGTAGAGCTAAAAGACTGGAGAAATAATAGTATATAAATTGGAAGGAGACTCTCTCAAAGCAAATTCTTTATATTGTTCAGGAGTAGACTCCAGTCTAGCTTATATTGTGTGCAAGTTAAAATTTCAAAGGAAACCACAAAAATTGTGTGTGTCTGTGTGTGTGTGTCTGTGTCTGTGTGTGTGTTGATGTGTGCGTCGATTTCCAAACCTTAGCTATAAGGGGAAATAGAACTTTTTAAAACCACGAAACAACCCATCAAGGGTGTTACCAACATACCTGACCCAAGAGAAAGAGGCAAATAACACCAACCCCGAGAGCAACGGAGACAGCAGTTTATTGGTTGGGGTCTGCCGATCCCAGGCCTCAGTGGAGACCTCTGGGCTGACGGGGCTGATGGGGCTGGGCAGGGCTGGGTCTCTAGCCCTCGGAACAGGGCTTCTGGCCTTGGGACTCGAGGTACATATCCATGGCCACTGTCGCAACACTGGAGAGAAACTCAGGAAAACTGATCTTCTCATCATGGTTCACGTCCTCCTTCTTAAAGAACTTCTCTAAGAAATCCGGGCTCTTTCTTTCCTATGGAGAGAGGATCACCAACAAAAGAAAAAGAAGTTACAACCTGGGCTGGACCAGGAGGAAGAGGAGGGAATGGGGGGGAGGGCCATCTGCGGGTCAGGGCAAGGACTGCAGGAGGGACAGGAGATGACCGTGCTGGACAGAGCCGGGGACTCGCCTGAGTTTGGGGTGGTGGTTGTTCTGTTTGGGTACTGGGGGTTGAACCCAGAGGCACTTTCATACTGAGCTATGTCCCCAAAACTTCTTCTGTTTTACTTTGAGACAGGGCATCACGAAGGTGCCCAGGTTGTACTCAGACTTTCCATCCTCCTGCCCCGGCCTCCTGAGTAGCTGGTATTATAGACTCCCTCTGACTCCGAGCTTCTTAACTGGCAATTCTTTGGCTCCAGTGAGCACATACATAGGAAATCAGAGTTGGCAGGAGGTTCTGCCACGGCCTTTGCATATGGCACCTTCATTTTTCCTGGCTGACACCCCTTGGACCTCAAAACAGCCTCCACACTCATTCCCATCAGAAGTCGCCAACTCTGAGGGCCCTTTGGGTCTCACCTCTGGGATTTAACCTATTGAATTCTTTGTGCAGTGAGTTTGGTGTGTGCTAATAATTTAATAGTGAGATTAGGCACCACAGTGAGTGAGATTCAAGGGCTGGAGGTTTCAGGGGTGCCTCATTTCACTTGGCACTTGATTTCTAATGTGTTACTTCTACTCCCAGGGGTACATGAAAAGAAGCTACCAGAAAGAGCAGCTGTACTCTAAAAGGGGGACTGTTTGCTAGTCAAAAGAGAGAGCCTGTAATCCCCGTGGCTCAAGAGGCTGAGGATTCCAAGTTCAGAGCCAGCCTCAACAATTTAATGAGGCCCTGTCTCAAAATAAAAAATAAAAAACAGCTGTGGAAGTCGCTCAGTGGCAGAGCACCCCTGGGTTACAATTGTTTACCGCCTTACCCCTCTTTCCATTTCACAAAGTATTTTCCGTGTTTTGCCCATTTAAATGCTCATAACAACCCTGGGAAATAGGTGCCCGTGTCGCCTTGAGATGTCTGAGGTAACTAAGGGGAATGGGTGGCTGGTATTTGTGACAGTGTGACATGGAAATGGCAGTGTCTACGCAGGAAGCTGGGTCTTCCGACCACCATCTTGGACTCTGTCCACCACAGTCTGGATTCAAGGGGATGGGCCTGCCAAAGGCTGGGTCCAGGTACAAGACGCCAGTCAGCCCAGTCCTTTGGCTGCCCCTCAGTGAGCTGGCACTCTGGGGCACAGCAGGGCCACAGTGCTGCTCACTCCTGCCCGCCTCCTGCCCCGTCCCACTTAGGTCCCTACTCACACAGGCCGACAGGAAGGTGGGGAAATTCTCCTGCATCATCTTGGATAAGCCAGCTTTGTCCATAGCACCTGAGTCTTGGGCGTATTCGTGGTAGAGTTGGAGCAAGCCCGTCATCATCCTCTCGGCCTCCGTGTTACCCATCCTGACTTCCAACAAGCTGCAGGAAACACACGCAGTCACCCAGCGTCCTCTTCCAAGGAGAGGCTGCAGGAAACAGAAGGGGAGGGGGCTGGGCCAGTCCTAGGGCCCCCCACTCACACACAATTATCCTGGACACATTCTGGGCCCAACCAGAAGAGCCCCCCAGAGCCTGTCAGAGTGGAAGCTGCTTTGGCAAGTGCCATCAAGGTCATAGGATGCAATCCCCAAAGGGCAATGGTGCATCTGCTCTAGAGACGGTGGATAGGACTGTCCTTCTCCCAGCTCTAGGGGCAAGGACTGACCCCGAGCCCCTCAGTGCCTCTGAGCATCTTGAGGAGACCTGACCCAGGGGCCCCCCAAACCACAGGATGAAGGATTGTAGGGGTAGAGACAGTTCTGGGAACCTAGACTCGCCATGCCCTCAGTTGCCTAGGAAGACATTGTCCCACTGGTTCTCGATGAAGGATGGGATGTCACAGAGCCACCAGGAGTCAGAACAGAAGGAGCTAGATACCCAGCCTGTTCTTCATTGTCCAGAAGAGGCTGCTGAGGCCTAGGTGGATGCAGATGAGGGATGACTGTCCAGGCACCCTGACTGCCGCCCAGGGAGAGTCTCCTGCTGTGAGCAGAGCAGGCCAGGGCACTGCGCCTAAACCTACAAGCAAGAGGCAAACGGGGACTCACCAGACCCCGAGGAAGAGGCACCAGGAGGAAGACGGTGAGAGGTGTACTCCAGGGTGAAGAGATGCCCCTTTTATGGTACTTGGATCTGGACTGGGCCAAGGCTGGGAGCCTGGGGCTTATTCCCTCAGCTGCCCCAGCATGACCCTGTTCTTGGTGGAGACTCACACCCAAGACTCTGCCCTGGGGCTCAGAGGTGCCTGCCAACCCAGCCCCCATGGGAGTCCTCTTGCCTTCCTAATCTTATGGGGCTGGAATAGCAGGGAGTGGCAGAGGAAGGGGGAAGAGGCCTGCTGTGCCCCAGGGATAGAGCGGCTGGGGCTTTGCAAGTGGAATCCGAGTCTCCCATTATGTACCCAATGAGTCATTCAACCAACTTTCCTTCACTATTGATAATGCAAAGCGGTTGCCATTAGTGTCAGATTACCATATGCCAGGTGGGGTGCTGAGAGCTTCCAGTGCTTCTCCCATTTAATCCCTGAGAATGTCCTGCATGACAGGTAACCCAATTAATTGACAGAACTGGAACTGAGAGTTGAGCTAGATTTCTCAAGTGGATTCCCTGATAAATGACAAAGTCAGGATTTGAACCTAAGACCTACTGACCCTGAAGCCCAGCTTCTGCACTCTGCAGAAATTCGGAGTCTCAGGCTGGGGCTGGGGCTCAGTGGCAGAGCACTTGCCTAGCATGTGAGGTAATGAGTTTGATCCTCAGTACCACATATAAATGAATAAAGGTCCATCAACAACTGAAAAATAAAAATTAAAAAAAAGAAAGAAATTCTGAGCTTCTATTGTGTCCATTCATGTCTGGGATGAGTGAATAGAGCCAGCCCAGATCCTGTCCTGCAGGAGTCCACTGTCCAGCATAGATGCTGTATGTGCAGATGTGCACACTACAGTGACCAGGACCGATACATACACAACCCAACTGTTACAGCCCATGTCGTCGTCGTCGTCTTCTTCTTCTTCTTCTCCTTCTTCTTCTTCTTCTTCTCCTTCTTCTTCTTCTTCTTCTTCTTCCTCTTCTTCTTCTTCTTCTTTTTTTTTTTTTGTTACTGAGGATTGAACTCAGGGGCACTTGACCACTAAGCCACATCCCCAGCCCTAGTTGTATTTTATTTAGAGACAGGGTCTCACTGAGTTGCTTAGCACCTCGCCATTGCTGAGCCTGGCTTTGAACCCACCATCCCCCTGTCTCAGCCTCCCCAGATGCTGGGATTACAGGTGTTTGCCATCGCACCCAGCCTGATGTCTTCTTGTGAGAAATGCGTCTCCCTTCCTAAACGGAAGCTCCAAAAAAATTGCATGTATGTTAACTGTCTGACTTGATTTCATTTCCATCTTAATCAGGTCAGAAGATTCCAAGACCCAGCCTCAGGAGGACCACAGTCTGTCCCCAGCAGGAAACTACAGGGCCAGGGACAAGGCTGTCAACTCAATGGACCTCCTCTTTACTGCTCTGTGCCCCAAATCATTCCCCATGGAGGGCGGGCAGGCTGCAGCATCCAGTGGGCCTCCACTCTGCACCCTGGCGCTCCTCACAGCTCTTCCTCGTGGCTCCCTTAAATAGAGCCTCTGCCTCTCCTTGGGGCCTCATGTTCCCCCTAAACAGCTCCTCTGCCCCCAGAGTCTGTCACCTCCCTGATATCAGGGTTCCCTGGCTCTACTATTCTACCAACTGCCCCAGCACACGTGTGCACACAGACACACACATGTGCACTGAATAAATCTGCACTTGGTTCTTTGGAAATGTCTCTGTATCTCGTATGTAGCCTCCCATCCTTCCTTTCCCAATGATTTTATTACATGATACATTTTGCAAACAAAATTGTACTTAGAAGCCAGAGAAATCAAATGTATAAAGGAGAGGAGCTCTGGGGAGGGATGGGCACGGAGCCAGCAGCAGCCAAAACAGCCTCCAAAAGGCTCTGGTTAAAAAGCATAGATTCTGGGGCTGAGGCTGGGGCTCAGTGGCAGAGCACTTGCCTAGCATGCGTGAGGCACTGGGTTCGATCCCCAGCACCACATCAAAATAAAAACAAATAAAATCAAGGTTGTTTAAAAATAAAATCACAGATTCTGTAATCCCAGCTACTCAGGAGGCTAAGGAGGGAGGATCGCAAGTTCAAGCATCAGCAATCGAGCAAGACCTTGTCTCAAAACAAAATGAAAAAATACATAAATAAAAAGGGCTGGGATGTAGCTCAGGGGTAGAGCACCCCTGGATTCAATCCCCTGTACAGGAAAAAACAAAAACAGATTCCAGATGCCATGTGACTTCTTGTGTCTGTGTCCTCATGAGTGAAAATGGTAGCAGAGAGCCCCTAGTTTACTGTGGAAATCAGATTTTAGTACAGATGAAGCTCTTGGGAGAATACCGGCAGGTGGTGTCTGCTCTATGTGTTGGCCATGGTTATTCTAGTTGTAGTCAAGAAAGTAGCAAAGCAATGTATTCCTTTTACCCTTGTCCCTAGGACAGGCAGAATAGGGACATAGGGGCAGGCCCACAATGGCTGTAGTCAGGCTCCCTCACCACGGTTTCCCGCAGGCTCTGTTATGTTTTTAGCGTGTAGCCAAGGCCATGAACCAGTTGTATTAAGGTCAATGTGTGGTCAGGATCAGAAACGCTCTGACTCAGTGTATGTACTCAAGGTCACACATGTGCCGTGAGCATGCATAGGGAACCTGTGGGCAGTGTGCCTTCTTTGTGTGGCCTGCATATAAAAGGGCCTGTGGAACTGACTGGGGGGGGGGGGGGGGAAAAAGGGAACCCCGGGGGGAGAGAGGGGGGGGCTCCATGGAACTGGCGGGGGTAAATCTGAAGCTGGAGGCTGCAGGCTGCTGTCACCTCTGAATAAAACGTTCCTACTACCCTAAGTGCATCTTCACCTTCTTCCACCTGCCGGCACCCCAAACCCTGCTTCCAGGGCCTGCGCCTCACCCTCCACATGACGGGGGAACCTAGAAGACAATTTCACCCCTTACAGAAAGGGCAGAACCCCCTTGCCTGTCTCAGAGATGCAGTTTCCTGACAACACCTGAGAGTCCCAAAAGGAAGCTGTGCAGCCCCCAGGTACAGAGGGAACGTCACATGGATTCGAGCGAGGACTGGCCTCGCAGTGTAAGCTCTGGTGTGTGGCTCCCTCCCATCAGTCAGGGACAGATGCTTGCCCAGCTGTCGAGGCTTGCTCCAGCCCCATCCCTGCAGGAAATCCACGGCGAGACACTGGTTTGCCAAGTGTGCTGTGGGGACATAATGTCCTTCTGTGGGACGGAAGAACACGTGATGAGAGGGAGCCAGCCACTGGGACTCAGGCACCAGACCAGCGAGTAGAGGTCTCGGTTCTAGTTTGGGGACCAAGGATAAGACTTGTACCTCCTTCTGTAGCGTCAGCTCATCTACTAAAGGGGAAGAAGAATTCACCGCAGCGAATGCTGATGAGATTCACAGGAGGTAAGAGGGCAACGGTGCTCCATAAATGAAAGGAGATCCGAGCAGGAGAGGTTGAGAGAGAACGGAGTAACTGGCCCAGGTCAGGTGGGGCAGGAATTCATAACCAGCCAAAGAAGGTCCACTAATGAGGAAGCAGGTGCGCTGAGCATCTGAGAAGCAGGCCACCTGCTCCTAATAAACCACGTGGCCAGTAACAGGGACAAAGTGGGTGGGCCTCTGTTTCTTCATCCGTAAGATTGTACTAAACCCTGTGCCCTCAAAGACTCCGCAGCAGCAAAGTCCCTCGCATCCAGTGTTTCATTCCTCTCCCCTGAGCCACCACCCAGTGTCCACTCTCAGGCACACTCTCCTGGTTCCTCCAGCCTCCTCTGTAGACAGGGTTTGGCTCTCGGAGATGCTGATTCTGAACTACAACTTGGTTCAGATTGGGGTGACAGGATTCCAGCATAACAGGGGTCAGGTGACAACACGTGACTATTAGCAACAAGGTGGAGCAATATCGTAAGGACAAGCTCAGGCTGGAAGCCAGGGAGTATGGTCCTCCGAGATCTATGGAGATGGCTGAAGAACATGCTGTCCCAAGGCAGAACATGGATGGGAAGCTGTGTGACAGAGCATTTAGGCTCACCCAAGAAGAGGCCTAGCCTCTGCTCTCGGCTCTCAGAACCCCGATAACCACCTTCCTATGGAAATATAATGAAGGTTATCTTTAGTACAATATTATAGCAAATATCAAGATTTACTATAAAGCTCCAGTAATTGAGGTAGGGCAGTATTAGTGCAAGGATAAACAAATATACCAGTGGAACAGAATAAACAGTACAGAAACTGACTCACAACGCCATGGGAAAGTGACGGTCCTTTCAACCAGGAGTGCTGTTTCGATGACATAGGTACGTGGAAAAAAATAAATCCTGGCATCACCTTACATCTTACAATAGAATTAACTCTAAGCTGATTATAGCTCTGAATGTAAAAGGCAAAACAACAAAGCTTCTGGAAGAAAATATGGGACCCATATCTTCAGGAGATTGAAGTAAGCAAAGATCTTTAAAAGAACAGAAGACGAGCATTGGCAACAGAGGGTTAATTGACCACATTAGAGCGACAAGCGACTGTTTGTCAAAAGTCATCATTAAAAGCATGGAGACACAAACCACAAAGTGACAAACACACACACGCACACGCACACACGCACGTGTGTGTATATGTAAGAGGTTGCATGCCAAATATATAAGGAATTCCTAC